CTGGAAAGGGTGTTCAGGCCTTGGCAGGGGCTGCCCAGGGAGGTGGGGGAGTGCCCAGCCCTGGAGGTGTCCAGGGAAGGAGTGGCCGTGGCACTGAGTGCTCTGGGCTGGGGACAAGTTGGGGATGGGGCACTTCCTGGCCCCTTCCTGGCCCGTTTCCATCAGAAAACCTGTCCCTTTGTTTCCCTCTTTTGCAATTGAGGATTCTTTGGGCGCTGGTTCCGGGATTAAGAGGCTGACAGGGAGGTGTTTCACCACCACTGTCCTTCCCGTTCCCCAAAGCCTCCAGGGCCAGCCAGGGGCTGGATTTGGGATGAGGGGCTCCCCACCAGCCCCCTCAAGTCACGTGGGGTTGGGCAGTGGGAACACCAGGGGGTCTCCCACGTGTGGCAGCATCCCCCCAACACCGAGGGGCACAGCTGGGAGTCAGGAGGGTTTGCCAATGCCCTCAGTTGTCATCGGGCAGCAATTAGAGCTGCTGGGAAGTGCCACCTCCTCAGACCAGCTGGAAGGTTTCCCACACACTGGCATGCCCAGATTTGTACCCAGGATTGACTCCATGGAAATCTATGGACAAGCGATGCAGGGAGAATGCTCTCATGAGTTTGGAGAGGTGGATGGGGGGGATGTGTTGGCCAACACCAGCAGCACGTTGAGAGGGGCCACCAAACCTCCATCCAGACTCAACAACGACGGGGCAAATGCGATGATGAACCTCATCCCCCATTGGGTAAGCCCAGTGTTATCCCACTGAAGACCCTCACAGGTGTGATCCAGACAAATTTGTCTCCCATCATCTCCACAGACCCCCCAAACTCTGCGGAAATGTCCCAATGCTGCATCATCACTGACCCCCAGTGACGGCTCCTCACAAATGTCAGTTTTGGTGTTTCCTTGTTTTGTCCTGATGAGTTTGGGGCGTCCCCTCCCTCATTAACAGGGAGAGCAGCCAGTTCCTGGAGCTGAGAAGTCACCACCTGGGTGTGCTGAGCAGCCTTGCACAATTCCCAGGGTTGCTGCCCTGGAGGAGATTTGAGGGTGTCACAAATCGTAGCTCAGGGAGAGTATAAAAGAGGCGTCGTCTCCTCT